TGGCTCTGTTCGACAAGCGCAACCGGTTCTTCCCCCGGTCTGGGTTCAAGAGGCCCTTTCCGGGATCCTGCGGATGTCCTCGGCGGCCCTCGGGGGGCCGTGCCCGGAGGCCCTCCACAGGCCTTGCGGCGCCTTGCGGCGTCGGCCGACGACGGTCATCCGTCGCGACCGTTTTCGCGGTTGTGGCCGTTGTCGTCGGCGTGGTCTTAAGTCGGGCCTGTCCCCCCACAGGGGGATTTTCGACGAAAAATTAAAAACACACAAAAAAGGAACAAAAACACTATCCAAAAATAGCCTGGGGATTATTTGCGGAGCATTGTTTGGCCATTTTTGGGCATATTATATATATATATATATAGATATTCGTCGGAAATCCCCCTGTAGGGGGACGCGCCCGACTTAAGCGTGGTCGCCGCGGCCGTCGCCTTCCTCCTCGTCGTCGTGGTCCGGGTCGTGGTCCTCTCCGCTCAGGCGCCGCCCTCGCCGCCCCCGCGGCGGTAGCCGCGGCGAGCACCGGGGCCGCCGGCCTGCGGAGGCCTCCAGCCGCGATCGCGCGGAGGCCTCGCCGGCGGCGGCGCCCGCAGCCGGCGATGTGCGCGTCGTCGTCCGCGTTGTCGTCGTCGTCGCCGTCGCCGTCGTCGTCGTCTTCGTCGTCGTCGGCGTACTCGTCGTCGTCGTCGTCGTCGTGGTCGTTGTAGTCGTCGTCGCCGTCGTTGTAGTCGCCGTCGTCGTTGTCGTCATCGTCGTCGTCGTCGTAGTCGTCGAAGTCGGCGTCGTCGTCGTCGTAGTGGTCATAATCGTCGTCGTCGTAGTCGTCGTCGTCGTTCTCGCCGTCGACAATCGAGGACCGAAAGTTCCAGGATCGAGGATCGAACTTCGGCTTTCTCTTTTTTGGGGGGCCTCCAGGGGGCTCCGCGTCGCCACGGCTGGATCCGCCTTGGAATTGGGGCCAGAGCGCACCCCGGAACAGGTCACGGGATCGATGTTTCCCCCCCGTCCCAGACATGCTTACGGTTTAGAACAAAAATCACGGCGGGTTGTTCTTTGCTGTTTCGACGTCTAGGGACCCTGGCTGAACCCTGAACAAATGGCCCTGGTGCAAGGATCGCGGGGGCCCCGAAATGGAAACATCAAGACATCATTTGTTTTGGGAGATCTTGGAGTTCCAATTCTCTCCAGCGGGGGGTGTTCTCTCGGTTTCGGGCATCGGATCTCAGGGAACGTTGCCGTCGTCGTTGGGGTCGTCCCCGCGTCGCCGTCGTCGTCGCCCGCCGCTGGTCGGCAGTTGTTACCGTTGTCGTCATCGTCGTTGAATGCACGCTTCTGGAGAACAATTACGGTTTGATCTATTGGAGCGATTTTGGGCGCTCTCGTTTCGACGCCGCCTGGATTTTCCTCGAAACCGGTGATCCCGCTCGAGCGCGAGCTCGGATTCCAATCCCTGTTGTGCAAGGTCCATTCCAACGACTCCCGCTCGATCTTTCTTCAACTTACTCCGAGACGCCATGGCCAGAGAGACCCCACAACTCAAGAATGGCACGCTCGCTTAAAGCCGCTTCGAAATTCAGCGAAGTTGGTGGAAGCCCAACTACGAAGACAACGGTTCCCACTCGGTACTCCCTGGCAACTTATTCCGAGAGGGCCTTGCCACAGAAGCCCCCCAAATCAGGAATGGCGCCCGCTTGGTGGAGTCCCAACTACGACGCCAACGGCTATCGCTCCATGCCTCCGTATGGTTTACTCTTGGAGACCGTGGCCAGAGCGGCCCCGCACGTTGCCTTCTCGCCCAGGACTTCCTCGCACTCCAGGGATGTTGGCGAAGGCCCAACTACGCCGACAACATCTCCTCCTCCTCCTCCTCCTCCTCCTCCTCCTCCTCCTCCTCCTCCTCCTCCTCCTCTTGCTCGCTACTTCGCTACTTCGCTGCAGCTTACTCGGACGCGCCCAGGCCAGAGAGGTCCCGACACTCAGGAACGGCGCCCTCCCTCGAGAGATCCTCACAATGCACCCAGGTCGGTGAAGGAACAACTGCCAAGACGTCGATTCCCCTTCGAAGCTTCCTCGCAATTTGCCCCGACACGTTCTGGCCAGCGTAGCCTGGAAGCTCAGGAATGGCGCTCTCGCCAGAAACACCCTCGCAATTCACTCAAGATTGTGATGGCCCAGCTGCAACAGGATCGGCGGTTCGTGACAACGGCTCTCGCTCGATGTTTCCTCGTGATTTACTCGCGTGCGCCCTGGCCATTTGCATTCTGACACTCTGGAAGAGTGCTCTCGTCAGAGACGTTCCCGCGATTGATTCAATGCTGTGAACGCCCAGCTGCGACGACAACGGCAGTTTTTCTACCACGACTTCCTCGCAATGTGCTGAAGGCGGTGAGCTGCCCGCGGGCGCGTCAGCTCGCACGACGGCCATGCCAGCGCGGTGCGCACACAGAGTGCTTTGCGGCATGCTTCTTCCAGGAGCTGGTAAGACAAGGAACCCCGTGGTGGGGGTTGGCTCAAAGACAGCCGAGCATCTGACTCAGAAACGTCCTCCCGAAACGCTGGCCATCGTTTCTTCACCAGCTTGCCGGACAGCTGGCCCAGTCTCTTGAGCACGTTCGCCTCCTCCAGCGTTCGCAGCGGAAGTTTGTCCAGGTTTGTTTCAAGAAGCTTCCAGGAAGTTGGCCCATGTTTCGTAAAGGATGATGCTCTTGATCGTAGTTCCGGCTGTAGTGGGAGGGAGAGGAAGAAACAATTGACGGTCAACGCAGCTTGTTAGATCGCATGTTCCCAAGATAGCCGTCGTCGTCGGTGTCGTCGTCGACATCGTCGCCATCGTCGGACGGCATCTCCTCCACCTCAAAACCCCTCCTGCCTATCCGCCTCTTTCACCTCAGACCCAGCCTCTGTCTCCGAGCGGCGTCTCATTCACCTCAACCCCTCCTCCTGCCTATCCGCCTCCTTAACCTCAGACCCCATGCCTCCGAGCGGCGTCCCCTTCACCTCAAATCTCCCTCCTGCCTCTCCGCCTCCTTAACCTCAGACCCCCTCCTGCCTCCGAGCGGCGTCTCCTTCTGAAAAACAACCCTCCTGTCCCTCCGCCCCTTGCACCTCAGTCCCCTCCTGCCTCTACTCCTCCTTGTTGAGTGCAGGCGCGATCTTGTATTGTTCTGCCGCCCGCGCTGGCCTTCTCCCAAAGAATTTGCCGGCCTGGTGAGAGTCCTGTGGGCTACCTGCCTCGCGAGCGGCGAGAGGCCTGGAGATGCAACCAGGGCCCCCCCGCCGCCGACGCCGAGGCCAGCAACGACGACGGCGACGAGGCCGACGCAAACAACGACGACGACGCCGACGCAAACGACGACGACCGCGACGCCAACGACGACAGCAATGGCGCCGCGGGCGACGCCGGCGCCAGCGCTGACGCGGGCGCCCACGGCGACGACGTCCATGGAAGGCGACGCAGAGGCCAACGCCAATGACGACGACGAGGCCGACGACGAGGCCCACGGCGACGACGACGCCGACAACGGGGCCGACGGCAGCGCCAGCGGCGGCGCCGAGCCGCGGAGAGGCCGCCGTCGGGCGCCGTCGGCGCGCTGCGGTGGCCGCGGCCGCGGGTGCGGCTGGGCGGCGGCCGCGTCGTGCAGCGGGCGCGCCCACCGCCGCGGTCGTCGTCGCCGTCGGGCCGTCGTTGTCGTCGTGGCCGTCACGGTGGCCGCCGTCGGCGTCGCCTTCGTAGCTGTCGACGTCGTCGGGGTAGCCACCGTCGTTGACATCATCGTGGCAGTCGTCACCTTCGTCGTCGCCCATCGTAGTCGTCACCGTCGTCGTCGGCGTCGTTCGTTGTCGTCATTGTGATCGTCGTAGTCGCACTCGTCGTCGTCGTCGTCGCTCGTCGTCGTCGCCCGTCGCTGTCGCCGTCGTCGTCGTCTCCATTGTTCTTCGGATCTTCCAGGGGAACCACGACCACCAGTTATTCCCTCTTCCTTTCTGTCCTCTTCCTCCCTAATCGTCGTCCACCTCATGTTCCTCTGTGCTGTCCTCATTTCCCCCCTCCCCCCCCTCTCCACGTCCTCCCCCTGCACATCCACCGCGAAGCTCGTCTTCGTGGAGGGGAAGAAGCATGAGAAGAGAAGGAGGAGGGAGGAGTTGAAGAAGGTCCCCATCATCCTTCTGCTCGTTCTAGGCCTCCTCCTCCCCCTCATCCCTCCCGCTCCTTCCCCCTCAGTGGTTGCCCCTTTCCTCTCCTCCTCTTCCTCTCCATCCTTCCCTCCTCCTCCTCCTCGTGCTCCCTCTTCTCCTCCTCCTCCTCGTCCTCCTCCCCGACCTCCGTCATGATCCTGGCTGTCCTCACCCTCGACCTTCCCGCTCCCGCCCTCTGCCTCCCCCTCGCCCCTCTCTCCACCCTCTTCCCTCCTCGTCAGCCTTCTCCTGCTCCTGTGTCCAGTCTTTCCCCTCCCCCTCCTCTCCTCCACTCCTCCTCCCCTTCTCCCCCTCTTCCCTCCCCTGCTCCTATGTCTAGTCTTTCCCCTCCCCTCCTCCTCCTCCTCTCCTCCACCCTCGCGTGCTCCTCCTCAAGGCAAGGAGTAATGAGCAGGATGACCATGGAGCAGCAGGAAGAGGAAGAGAGGGGGGTACAAGAGAAGGAGCTGGGGGGGCACGGTCACCACCAGCAGACGGATGGACGACGACTACCTCGGTCTCACCCCTCCTCGTCAACCTCCACCTCGTCCCCCCCCTCCGTGGCGCCGCCAGCCGTCGTCGTCGTCGTCGTCGTCGTCGTCGTCGTCGTCGTCGTCGTCGTCGTCGTCGTCGTCGTCGTCGTCGTCGTCGTCGTCGTCGTCGTCGTCTTCGTCTTCGTCTTCATCATCGTCGTCGTCGTCGTCTTCGTCGTCTTCATCGTCGTCGTCGTCGCAGGTCGATCTCATGACTCGTGACATCTCCTGAAGCGCGCTCCGACAGGGCCTCCGCCGCGGATCCCGCTCGCCGCGGATCCCGTCCCGTCCGAGGCCCCGATGGCCGCGCAGGGCGCCGGTCCGCACACGGCCTCTGGTGCCGCTTCACGCGCCTCGTCATGCTGGCTGCGCCCCAACTTCGGTTGGCTAATTCTCATGCGCGCTCCCCTGGACCAGTTCCCTGGCAGCAGCAGTTAATTCGCACACCTGGTGGTTCTGCTTCCATGGTTTCGCACGTTTGCAGCCCCTGGCGGCCCTGCAGCTTGCGGCGCCCCCACCCCGGCGGCAGGTCCTGCTGGGCCGCGCGCGCGCGCCGGCAATTCGTTTCGCTCGTAGCCCGAGCCGACTCGACTCGCCGTGGGCGCTTTCGCTTGCGGTCTGCGACAAAAAAATCTTTCCTGAGCTTGGCATCGCTCGGACGTGTGCATTGTTTCTCGGCGACGGCCATCGAGGACCATCCTTGATCATTTGGCGAGAAAAAAAAACACGCACGAAATCGAACAATACACGAGGAATGGACGTCCGAGCGATGGCGAGCTCATGCACCGTGCCAAAACGCCCACGCGTTGTGGCGCACGGCACGAGCGAGCGAGAGCGCCGCAGCGGGCCCCGTGGAGCAGGCGGGTGTGTACCGGAGGCCCAGAGGTCGGCACCAGCGCCGGCATCGGCGGAGCACCTCCACCGAGGGGCAGGTCGTCACGATCTCGGTGGCGCTGGCAAATGCTCGGGCCCTCTGCAGGCCAGCCACACCAGGGGGAGCTGTGGTCCTTACCCCCCTGGGGGACCCGTCGATTTCGGCACCCCTCTCGAGAGATCGTCGATGCGATGGGTTCCCCCAGGGCGGTAAGGACCACAGCTCCCCCAGTTATGGCTGGTCCGCTCTGGGTGGCCGAAAGATGACCACCGGCACCGACATCTAGGACCATCTGCCCACGGGGGGCGCACCCCCCTGTTTCTGTGCTGGCGCCCACTGCCAAGCCTCCAGTTCATGACGCGCGTGGCGCAGCGAGCGGAGTCACGGGCTCTCGAAGTCGGTCTCGAAGTCGGTCTCGGCCGGGGCGCTCCGAGCACGCTTGGGGCCCGGCTCCGCGCCCCGCTGGGCGCGCGTCTTGAACGGCGCGGCCCGCCGTCGCCAGCGTCGTCGTCGGCCTCGTTGTCGGCGGCCTCGTCGCCGTTGTCCCTCGTGAAACGTGGGCGTCAGCGTTGTTGTTCGGCGTCGGCGTCGTTGGCGTCGCCGTGTTCGTCGGCGTCGTTGTCGTCGGCGTCTTCGTCTTCCCCAGTGGCGTCAACGTCGTCGGCGTTGTCGTCTTCGCTGGTGTTGGAGCCCATTTCCAAGCCTCCAGTTATGTATCTAATTCGCTGCGTGGATGGTCGCACGTATCAGCCCGGCGGTGGGCCCACAGAGGAAGGCAGCGCGGGCCGGCCTTCTGAGCAGGCTTTCCCCCCCTCGCTTTCCGGAGGAGGAGGAGGAGGAGGAGGAGGAGGAGGAGGAGGATGCCCCTCGGGCTCCTCCTTTGCAGGTGTCCGTGTCAGCACGATGGGCTCCAGCAGAGCAAGGAGCCGCGTCCGCTTTGCGGGCGGGTGGCGGCATCGTTGGAGCATGCTCTGGCGATGTGCGCTGGATCCCGGGAGTAGCAGCAGGCGCCTCGTCGTCATTCGTCGTTGTCGTCGGTCGGTCGGTCGGTGGGTCGGTCGGTCGGTCGCCGTCGTCGGCGTCGTCTCCTGCCGCCGCCGCCGCCGCCTGTGCCGTCGGTCCCAGGCCCCCGACGTCGTGATCTTGCTCGCAACCTCGACCCCGAGACGTCCAGACCCCTTGCCCGGGACCCGTTCCTCGTCCCGAGGCGTTTTTTTTGATGCCCTCGGGGCCCGGCAATTATGGGCCACCGGAGGCCGAGCAGGGCGAAGAAGCCTCCCGTCGAGATTCTGCTCATGGCCCGAGGGGGTCTGGGGTAAAACAGGGCTAGGATCGGGATAAATCGCTCCAGAGCGTTCCGGAGCGCTCTCAGAGCGTTCCAGAACGCTCTGGAGCGGCCGCGGCGCCCAATACATCCTCCAAACACGCCGATTCTCAGAGATTTCGAGTTATCCCAATCCGATTTTGTCCCGATCTTCGCGTCGTTTTATGGGGTCGCCGCCGCCGTCGAGGGCGGTCGCCGCCGCGAGGCGCTGCCCCTCCCGGACCTCGGCGGCGCGGACGCGAACCTGGCGGCGTGGCGCGCCCGCCGCCGCGCGCCGCCGCGCGCCGTGGCCGCCGCCGGAGGGCTCGCCACGCCGAGGAGCAGGGCCAGCGTCGGCGGCGAGCGAGGGGGGGGGGGGGAAGTGAGGGTCTAGGCTTGAGTCGGGCCTGTCCCCCCACAGGGGGATTCTCGACGAAAAATAAAAGATGCTCCAAAAATGTTCAGAAACGATGCCTAAAAATACTCAAAACAATAGTCCCCTGACTATTTTTTGGCTATGCTATTGTTTTGAGTATTTTTAGGCATCGTTCCTGAATATTGTTGAAGCACCTTGTATTTTTCGTCGAGACTCCCCCTGTAGAGGGACAGGCCCGACTTGAGCCTAGGCCGCCCAGGCGGGGTCCGGGCAGATGGGGTCGGAGGATCGCGCGCCACGTCGCCGATGCATCGGGGGTGCGGCTCGGTGTGGAGCCCGATGTTCTCACATCCTTGGCGTCGCCGATGCACCGCCCATGCACGGCCGATGCATCTCCGGTGCACGGGCGATGTATCTCAGGAGGGAAAAAAACACACAGACGCAATTAATCGTCGAGTCCCAAGAAAATATGGGAAAATATGGGAATTGGGCGGGAAGACAAAAACCTGGAAAATATGGGAAGATATGGGGAATCATTTTATTTGTGTGTATTTATTTGTGTGTCCTGGGGCCCCTTCAGTATCGCCGATGTATCGGCGATGCTGCGCGATCCTCCGACCCGGTCTACTCCGACACCCCATCTGCAGAGGCCTCTTAGAGAGAAGGAGAAGGCCTCCTCAGAAGGCTCGGGGCTTCCCCGGCCTTCTGAGAAGTTTTCTAAGCCTCGGGGGCGGAAAAGAGGGGGGTGATGACTAGGGGGGGTGGATATCATGGCGGGGGGCATGATATTTCCTCAGATTTCATGGCGCCTCTTCTTATTTCATTGCGTCCCTGGCCCCCCCGCTGGGCCGCGCACATGCCGCCGGTCATGATTTGCACTCCCCCTCTTGGACACCCCCCTCTTGGCCGCTCCCGAAAGCCTTTCCCGACGAGGACACACAAAAATAAGATTCAGATGGTGGGAGGGCTTCTGAGAAGTCCCGCCGCCTTCTGGGCAGGCCTGCTCCTTCTCACTCCCCCCCCCCTCGCTCGCCGCCGACAGTGACCCAGGCCCCCCTCGAGTCATGAAAAAACAACGGGAGGTTTCTCGCTACTTTCGGCCCCACAACGGGAGGTTTCTCGCTACTTTCGGCCTCTGGGGGCCCTTGCCGGGCCTCGGGACCGTCAACGAAACGAGTCGGGAGGAGAATCCGGTCCCGGGGGATGGGTCGAGACCTCAAGGGGTCGACGTCATGAGAAATCAGGACCTCCAACGACGTGATTTTTCCAGGCCTGGTGGTGTTTCTCGATCTCGGCCTCCAGGGGCCCGTTCTATCGGGCCCCGGAGGCCATGGAAAAGGGACCCGGGCGGAACAGTGGCCCTTTGGGGGAAGGGGTCGAAGCCTCCGGGGCGCGGATCGAAAACACATATCGGCGGCTGCGAGGGAACGGGTCCACAGGGGTCCTGAGGTTTTCTCTTCGAGGAGGAAGAGATACCGACACCGCCGCTCGTCCTGGAGTGCCCTCGCCGCCACGGCTGGACTCTCTTGGAGATGCTGGCCAGAATGGAGAGGTCGAGGGAGTAGTGGTACCGGTATACACTCTACGGTATACGATATACCTCCCCTGAGATCCAACGTTGCAACAGACATCATTGCAACATCGCAACAAACAAACACGACCTGAGCCCCGCACCCTCCCTGTCTACTGTTGGTCCGGGAGCCCGAAATTGGGCGAATCGCCAGTCGTGAAAAACTGCAACGCCTGGATCCTTTACCCCCGACGTAATGCCTTTTGTCGCACCGTCGACCCCCAGAAGTCTCGACCCATTCCCCGGGTCTGCGTCCTCATCCCGAGTCGTTTTTGGAAGCTCACGAGAGCCGGCGAGGGCCCCCATGAGGCTGGAGATACAGGCCTCGGAACAACTTAGCGAACACTCATGCCACATTCATCTGTCGACGGCTCCCCCGCCCCCCCAATGTTCAAAGCTGGCGGTGGGTCTGATGAGACGCACTTCGACCGCAGTCTCCCCCGCGCTTGCCAACGTTGAGGTTGGGGGGAGGGGGGGCGTTCAGTCATTGTTCCCCTCTGCCGTAGGGAGACGCCTCCCGTCGTGACTCCTGCCTGGCCCGAGGGGGCCCGGGACGTGCGGGCTCCTGCCCCGCCAGTCTTTCGCTGGCCGACGCGGGGGGCTCCCGGGCCCGCGCACGTCTCGTGTCGGCGCTGAACCATCCCTGTCAGCACGCCTCACTGGCGCCTCGTCGTCGCCGTCGTCGTCGCCGTCGTCGCCGTCGCCGTCGTCGCGCCGTGTCGGTGGTCGTGCATGGCCCGGCTCCGGGCGCGCAGCCGTCGCCGCGTCCTCGCCAACCCGACGGAGCGCAGCGCGCGCGGCAGATCCATCCCGCACGACCGCAAGCGCCCCTCGGTGGCGATGCGAGCGGCGGGCGACGAGCCTCGCGGGCAGCGCGAATGCACGCGCGTTCTTGCGTTCTTGACGGTCTACGACCGTTGGTCACGAAGAGCGTCATCTCATCTTGGCCTGCTCGCCCCTGCGGGGGTTGCAGCCGTGGGACACCCCGCCCCCTCTTCATGTCAAAGACTGCAGCTAGGGCACCGCCCCTCTCCTGCCCCCATCCCGGGCGATAGTGAACGTCATAACCATTGCTCTGGTTGCCAATCACAAGCTGCACCCAGTGGAGCTTCGGATTTCCAAGACTCGGCCAGGCTTCGTGCTTGGACGCCAGTTTCTCAGCGGCGTGGTCGAGGTGGCAGGGGATGCAGCCTCGACCACTTCGCCGACGCCCACCGGCCTAGCTTCGTGAACATGGTCAGTGCCGCTGCCTTTCCGAGCCTGGCGCGCCCTTGGCTATGGGATGTGCTCGAGCGCTGGGGTGTATGCGGTCCCTTTCCACGAGCCCCCCGAGGCCTGCTGCTTCCGCCCCGTCAACTTCGCCGAACAGGGCGATGCCCGACGCACACTTCTCAGGGCTGCGGATGGCGCTGCTCCGGGCCCCCCGCTCAGCGGCGCGGTCTGGGCATTCATGTCCGACCACTCCCCGAGCGGCGCGCAGCTCATCATTGGCGCCGGCGGCGCAGGCGAGCTCAGCGCTCGCGCGGACCACGCCGGCATCTCTCTCGCGCGGCTCCGAGGTCCACGGCTTTCACATCCTCATCTCCTGGCCGATGAGCTTCGTGCTGGCTTGCGCCTGCAAGCGTGGAAATGAGTCGCCGCCGCTGTCTGGGCGCCGCCCGCCGACGACTTCGCCACTCAGACCCGCGGCGTCCTGACTGGGATCGGCGCGGCTTGGAGTAACATCGACGCAGCGGACAACGCGTGTGACTTTGGGCCCACTGTTGGCCCGGGCGCCATGTTATCGGGGCGGTGTAGGCCAAACCCGCGGCGAAGGGGTAGATGCGCACGCAGGTCCTCGTCGAGCCGCGCAGCCCGACCCAGATGTCCATCAAGCGCTGCGACATCGCCGCAAGCACCTGCCTCGCGTACGTCGGCCAAATCAACCCTTCTGCGCCTTCCTTCTGGGCTCAAGAAGTGCACGAAATGCGCCGCCAACTGCGCGCGACCTCCGCGAGCGTCGCAGAAACTGAAATCCTGGCCGCGCGCCCGTGGCGTGGCGCCGACATCCCCGCCGGTTCAAAGGTGCCGCTATTGGCACCGATCTGGCGCACCGCGACCACGTCGCTCACGGGGTTGCGATCTACGCCGGAGCAAGCGAAGACCATCGCACACGAAAACCAGACCGAGATCAAACGCCATGATGGCCATTGCCAACTGGTGTGCAGACTGCTGGCTTGACCAACTCCCGACAGCGCCGCGAGGAGGTGGTCAACGGCGCCCTCCCCGCCCCGCTTGTACGGACTTTACGCATAGGCACATCGCTCGCTCGCCAGGCAATCCACAGACCGTATATCGCCGGCGTTGCATCGCTCACCGACGCGCTGCGGAGCAGGGTCGCCGAGCGTTCCGCGACGTGAATGTGCAAAGTGATTGGGGAGAGAAGTCCCCCCCCGTTAGCATGCCTCCCGGAGCCCCAACGCGACTTCTACACCAACGCCGACTCCTTCAGCAAGACCACCGTCGAGCGCGCTGCATCGTGGCTTTCGCTGGTCGGCCCCGTTGCGTAAGGAACAGGCGGTGACGACGCCGTTCAGGTGCAGCAAGCAAGCGGTGGCAACGCATCAGAGTTTCGAGATGCCGTTGCGCGCGCCCCCGATTGAGGGCGATCATCTGGATGCCGAATGCGAAGAGCACGCTGAAGCCAGCCACTGCGCGCGCGGCGAAACAACTTCGCACGCCGTCGAGGCCGAGGGCGCCCACGCTGGAGTCGCCGAGCGCCGGTCTGCGGCCCGGCCCCCGAACGTCGGCCAGGGCAGTTTTCACTGCGACGCGGAGGTCAAATCGACCGCAGATTCTTTTAGAAAATGCCTGTGACAGTTGGCGAATGGCTCCTGCGAGAAGACCCGCGGTCAAACTGAACACGGGCGACGGCGGCGGCATCTGCTACATCGACCAGACCGTCCCAGCGCGGACGCCCAACGACGGCGGCGCCCTGCCGCTGAATAACGCCGAGCCCGTCGTCGTTGGATCCACACGGTCGACTTGGAAAGCGGCGACTCCGACGCGACGTTCCCGCGCGCCGTCAATGAGGAGAAGGAGGGTGCTTGCGACAGAATCTCCACAGTCCAGCCCCCAACCTCTCCGCGACATGAGTGGCGAGCAGCGCGAGGCGCGATCGCCAAGATGCCGCCTTCGCGGCGTTGGCCCATCATGAAGTCATGCGCGGGCGCATGGACGAAGAGCTACAACGCGCACGTGAACCCATGCAGGAAGAGCTGCGTCTTCGGATCGTGTTCCAACCGCGACCAGCCCGCCTCGACGGCGCACTACATGCAGTGGCAAGAGGCTCTGGCACCACCTCGCCCTGCCTCGCGGCCAGCTCGACGCCGACGTCCTGGTGCGCCCCGGCCTCGTGGGCATCCTGCCCGTCGGCAAGGGCAGCATCTTGAATGCTACGACGCGCGTCGCTGCGGCATAGCGCGCGCGCCACTTTCTGAACAACAGCGACCTGCCTGACGGCGACAGCAAGCTGTACTAACGCCAGAACGCCGACGCCGTGAAGGCCGTTCGATCCGCCCTGAGGTCCTCTCCGAGCCTGCGCGGCGGCGTCGGGCATCCAGGTGCCTCCTCATCACCTGGCGATGCGCCCCAGCTGATCCCAAACGCGGGCAGTTGATCCAGACGGTGTTCTCTCCGCCGCGCAAATCTCAGGTAGGGTGTGCGTACGTGTTGTGCGTTCACTCCCTTTCCCTCTTCCTCCGTCAATTATCGTATCCCCCACCTCCTCTTCCACCTCCTCGACCTCCTCCTTTTCCTGCTCCCCCTCTTTCCTATCACTATCATCGTCACCACCATCATCACTACACATCATCATCACCAGCATCACCATCATTATCATCATCATCATCATCATAATCATCATCATCAGCAGCACCACCAGATGCATCATCATCCCCGCTTTTACACTCATCATCACCATCATCATTATCATCATGTCCCCCCTTCCTCCCTCGTCCGCATCATCCTTTCCATTCCTTGCCATCCTCTCGTGGATTGGGGAAGCGGCTTGCCGCTCCGCCCCCTCACCCCGCTTCTCCCGCATCGCCGGCGTCTTCGCCGCCCTGTTCCTCCGCTTCCTACCCCCCCCCGACTACGACGGCGCTGCCGACGACGGCGACCGACCGTGACCCTCCTGTTCCTATGGCTCCCTGCCCCGTCGCTTCGTCCGGCCCCGACGGCGCCGCCGACGACGGCGACCGACGCCGACGCCGCCGCCCGCGAGACATCGACGCCGCCCAAAATGTGCGGCCATTCTTCAGGAGGGAAAGAAACACACAGACACAATTAATCCTCGATTCCCCAGAAAATATGGGAAAATATGGGAAGTGGGGGGGAAGACAAAACCCAGAAACTATACGAAAATATGGAGAATCCTGTTCTTTGTGTGTATTTATTTGTGTGTCCCAGGGCCCCTTCAATTCTGGCCGGCCGGCTCGGCGCCAGGTTCGCGGCGCAGCTCGCCGAGGCCCCGGCGCGCGTCGCCGAGCAGGGGGCCTGGGGGCCGCTGTACTTCGTCGCGGCGGCAGCCGTGGCGGGGAGGGCGTGGGTTACCAGCCTCGAACTTACCCCTACCCCTAAGATTGACACGCCAAAAGGCGATGACAATCTTGGGGATGCGCCCTCAAAAAATGAGGGAACCCCTAAGATTGGCATCGTGATGAGGAGGGATAGGGATCTGTTCCAGGCTGGTAAGCGGGGGGGCGGAGCGCAGCAGAGACAGAGAGAGAGAGAGAGAAAAAACAAAGTAAAAAAAAGGGAGCGGGGAAGAGAAGATCTCTTTCCACCCAACACGTCGGCTACACCCTCCTCGTCGCCCCAGGCTTCGACGGTTAGGGTCCGATCGGACGAAGGCAGGCCTAGCGCCTAGCCCCTCCCCCTGGCCCGTTGCACACGCACTGGTGCTCCCACAACTAAATTATTTAATCGCTTCGCTCATTCCGCCGGCCCATATTGTCGCACCGTTGTGGGCTAGCCGAGTTTTGGGGACCGTTTTGGGGCCTCTTGGGGCCTCTTTTGGGCCTCTTGGGCGCCTCTTGGGGCGTCTTGGGGGCCTCTTGGGGGCCTCTTGGGGCCTTTTTGGGGCCTCCTGGGCGCCTTCTGGGGCGGAGGGCTCGATTTTTCAGTTCTCGGTTCCCCTCTTGAGCCCCTCTTGGGCCCGTCTTGGGGCCTCTTGGTCCGTCTTGGGCGGCACTTGGGCCGTCTTGGGGGCCCTCCTGGGCCGTTCCGGGGCCGTCTTGGGAGCCTCGTGGGCCGTCTTGGAGCGGTCTTGGGGGCCTCTTGGGCCGTCTTGGAGCGTCCGGAAGCCGAAAAAGCCAGAACACAAAAAACATCGAAAAAACCAATGAAAATCAACGATTTTGGCCTCTTGGGGCTCTCTTCGGAGGCCTCTTGGAAGGCTCTTGGGGCGTCTTGGAGGCCTCTTGGGCTGTCTTGGGGGCCTTTTGGGCCGTCTTGGGGTCATCTTCGGCGTCTTCGAGCGCTCTTTGGGCGTCTCGGGGGCCTCTTGGGCAGTCTTGGGGGCCTCTTGGGGCACTCTTGGCGCGCTCAGGGCGGCCTGAGAGGCCGCACCCAGAAGGAAAACCATCTCTGAGTTGAACCGGGCGGGACCTTCCCAGGCGGCGGGCGGGGTACTTTTCGCCGGGGGACCCCCAGGGGCCGCCCCGCGCGCGCGAACTAGTACAATACAATTGTTAACCAGTTACCGGAGATCTTAGCACGCCTCTGGCCCGTTGGGCCGGCGAATTCTCAGCCGTTCGAAGGGCGATTCGCGCGTTTGCCAATGCGGCGGCAGCATTAGCTTTCGGCGCCTCGCGGTCGCCGTTGCTGCGCACTCGAGGCTTCGACCACGTGCTGCATGCTGGTCCGCCGCCGCCGCCTCCTCCTTTCCGCTCATTCGCCGCGCTCCGTTCGTTCGCCGGGCTTCCAGGGGTTGGCTCCTGAGGGCGTGTGGAAGGTGCGCGGGGGCTGCCCCGATGCGACCAGTCCTGGTCTCAGTATCAGCATCGCGGTCCCGTTTCCTCCTCGCCGTGTCTTCTTGCGCTTCGTCCTTGCCTCCTCCCTCTCCGTCTCCCTGTTTCCCTCGCGGTTGGTGTCTCCTCTCTCCGTCTGCCCCCCTACCCTTCGCCGCCCTCCCCCCGCACCCCATCCCTTAACGGCGAAGCATCTGAAGCTTTGGAGCGTGATTCTCAAAGGCAGGGTTCCGAATCGCCTTGTGCTCGGATTGTGTTGCTTGCTATCTCGCGGGGAAGAAGGTGCATGCGAGGGCCGCTGGGTAAGTGGCACATGCGACCTTGACCTGGGGACGTACCCGACCCATTGACAGCAGCATCCCATCCGAAACCAGCGACTGCTCGACAGAGCACCCGACCCCGTGCGGCAGCTGCACACGGGCTTGCGCGTGGCACGCCACATGGGACCGGTGATCTGCCACTGCCACAGGAGAGGGCAGGCAGTGGAAGGGACAAACACGACGATGACGAAAGAAAACAGAGGAAGCAGGGAAGGACAGGAGGGGAGAGAAACGGGAGAGCGAGCGCTGCACGACACGTAGGCGATGACAGGGAGGCGAGGGGCACGCACAGGGTGCGATGATGACGACGCGCGTTCGGGCACTTGTGCCTCGCAGGGGCGACCAAAGGTTGAGACCAGTGGTCGCTTCGTCGCCCGCTTCCCTGCAGTGGGCCCGTAGTACACGCGCGACGCCGGGCCCGTGGGCGGAGGCCGGGCGAGGGCGTCCAAGCCGAGGTCGCGGATCACGCGCAGGTTCTCCGAGGCCGTGGGGCTGGAGAAGGTGACGTACATGTCCATCCAGGGGTTGTCGGCGGCGCCTCGGGGGCGGAGCAGCACGTCGACCCCCCGTTCAGGGACGTCGCTCTGGTGGGTCCGCTGTGGCGCGCGGCATGGTGGCGACGGCTGCGTCCCTGGACGCACCCCCGGGGGATGCGAGGAATTTCGTTTGAGTCTGGGCAGCACGGCCCTCGCTGGACCCCCTGGAGGTCACGAGAGTGGCGATACGTAGCTGCGTAGGTGGCACCACCTTGGGAGACAAGGTCTTGCGAGGGTCCCAGTAGGGCCGCGCTCCGCTGGGCCCGCAGGGGCTCCAGGACTAGCCGACAGTTTTGCGCCGGGATCCGAGGTTGGCGGAAGTCGTTTTCGCACGTGACTGCTTTCCTTTTTGTTGTTGTTCGCCCTTGGTCTCTTTTGCTTGGTCGTTTGCGTCTGGTCGTTTCGCCCCGTCGCTTTCGATCAAGCGTTTCCGCCAGCGGTTTTTTCGCCTGGCCCATTTACGCGGCCGCCGACGCCTGGTCATCGGTCGCGTCCGCCCTGCCGTTTTCGACGGAATCGGTCCGCCTGCCCGGCCGGCCCACCAGGGCCCGCCTTTGGATGGGCCTCAGGAGGCAGGTCAGTCAGGTGGAAGATACCAAGTCTTCCGATCGTGCCCTCTGCGTTCGGTGGAGTTTTGAGCACCGTCTGACGCGACCGCTCTAGCTCCCGCGCGCACATGATGCAGCTCCCGGCCGTGTCCCACGAGCCTTCCTGAGTAGCTTCGAGCGCCCCTCGGACGACCGTCCTAACAGTGCATGCGTGGCAAGTTGTGCGGCCCTTTGCTTCGCAGCTCCCGGTCGCCCGCATTGGTTCCGTCGCGTCCTGCGCACGACCCTCGGGCAGCCTGGGGCCACAGCGCTGCGCACGAACGGCCACACATGCTGAAGGTGCCCTCTGTTTGCGGCGTCTCCGCGGCCGCATTCCTCCTTGTTCCGCGCCCCTCCTTGCGTGGATTCAGCGCTCGCTTCCGTGCCCCGGTGGCCGTTTCGACCGTGGCGCGACCGCCCCCACAAGCGCATTTACCAGACAAGGTTGGACCCCCGCTTGTCTTGATGTCCCGCGCGCCTGGCCCCCCCGTTGGGGTCCGCCCGCCCGGCCGGCCCGTGACCGACAGCGCCCGCCAGTGAGGGTCCGCCCTCTTGACCTGCCCTGCAGAGCCGACCCGCTCGGTTGCTTGGAGTCCCGCCCACCCGTTTTGAGGTCCCGCCCGCCCGACTCGCCCGTCAATGGCCGAGGCCCGCCCGCCCGCGCGCTTAGAACCCCGCCCGCCAGGGCCCCCCCGCGCGTTTGCTTGGAATTCCGGCCTGCCCGCTCTCATGTCCCGCCCGCCCGACCCGCCCGCCCGCTCCCTGCCCGTGAGGGCCGCCCGCCTGAAGTTCCTCCTGACACTGGGCATCGCTCGGACGTGTGCATTTTTCTTTCGGCGAGGACCATCGAGGAGCATCCTTGATCATTTGGCGAAAAAGCCACGCACGAATCCGAAAAAAACACAGGGAATGGACGTCCGAGCGATGGCGAAGCCACTGTCGGGCCCGGCGAAGAGGGTTAGACAGGGAAAGCGGGCGCTGCAAAAAAGCTGCCGCGTGCACCTGGCTCCCGCCCCCGCCGCCGGCTCCCCTGCCTCGACACGCGGGCGCCTCCCGGCGCCAGGAGGCGCCAGGAAGACCGGCGATATGCGAGGGCTGATTCTCCACCCTGCCCTTCCTCCTGTCCGACCCTTGCGGCGTCCCCCCCGCCTTTGGGGACTGCCCCCTTCGGGGAGCACCGACCACCAGTGGCCCACTCCTCGCAGGGCTGGGCCCTGGGTGCCCCAGCCTTCCCAGGAGCGTGCTGATTCCTCATCCAGGGCCTGCCGCCGATGCATCGGCGATGCGTCGCCGATTTGAAGTTAGCATTCGCCTGGTCTTCGACGGCGTCCTGGTCCCCTCGTTCATGCCTCGTCGTCGCCGTCGTCGTCGCCGTCGTCGTCGTCGCCGCCGCCGCCGTCGCCGTCGCCGCCGTCGTCGTCGTTGTCGTCGTCGTCACCGTCGTCGTCGTCACCGTCGCCGCCGTCGTCGTCGTCGTCGTCGCCGTCGTCGTCGTCGCCGTCGTCGCCGTCGTCGTCGCCGTCGTCGTCGTCGTCGTCGTCGTCGTCGTCCGCCGTGGCAGCGGCGACGACGGCGGGCGCCGAGCAGCGGGGCGCCGGGAGGCCGAGAGCCTGACCTTCCCGGTGACCCCGGTGATGCTGACGGCCGGCTACATCTTCGGCCTGCAGCTCGGCGTCGCCGTGCTGCTGGCGTCGCAGGACCCTCCTCCTCCTCCTCCTCCTCCTCCTCCTCCTCCTCCTCCTCCTCCTCCTCCTCCTCCTCCTCCTCCTCCCCTTCGCGCGTGGCCTCTTCCGCGGCCAGGACCCCTCCTCCTCCCCCTCCCCCTTCCCCTCCCCTTCGCGTCGCAGGACCCCTTCGCGCGTCGCCTCTTCTCAGCGGGCGAAGAACGGTACAAAAGAAACTTTTTCGCTGTCGGGGGCGCCTGTCCCTGGGCGGCCGGACGGTTTATACCCCCACGGTGCCACCGTAAGGGTATGAACTTTCCAGCCGCCCAGGGACAGGCGCCCCCGACAGCGAAAAAGTTTATTTTGTACCGTTCTTCGCCCGTTAATCTTCCGCGGCCGGCGGCCGACGTCGGGGGCAAGGGGCAAGGTGGAGCAGGGGGAGGGCGGGGCGAGAGGGGGGGGGAAGGGGTGCGAGAGGGGGCGAGAGGGGGTAGGAGGAGGAAGGAGAGAGAGAGAGAGGGAGATAGATCTAAACCGTCAGAAATCCTCGGGTTCCTGGTCCGCCGAAGAGGTTTCTGGAGGGGCCATCCGGCCGCCAGGGCAGTCGAGGCCGTGGAAGGAGCCGTCGAGGATGTCGCGGGCGATGGCCGCCCTCGACGCTGGGCTTCCGGGGCCGTCGAGGAGACAACTGGAGGAGGCCTCCCAGGCCGCTGAGACCGGCGCCGGGGCAAGGGGCGGGAAGCGAACACCGCCGGGGGAGACCGGGGCAGTTGTCTTCGCGACGCGAGCATGCTCTGGGAATCCCCACCCACACCCCCGCATCCTCACCGCCGCTGCCATCCCCGTACGTCCTCTGCCCCCCAGGGCGCTGACAATTGCAGAGACAACAACAACAGCAGCAGCAACAACACCACCACCACCAACAACAATAACAATAGCAACAGCAACAGTCACATCAACAACAACACAGGGGAAGAGAGGACGGATGGAAGGAAGGGACAAGGCGGAGGCAGGAGGATGGAGCACGAGAGAGAGTAAGAGGAGGGGGGCTGTGAGCAGAAAACACGTAGCATAATCAATCGGGCGGGTAGACCTTGTCGGGCGGGTTGGGAAGGCGGGCCGAGGCGGCCAGGTCGAGCAGGCAGGTTGCTGAAGCGGGCGTCCTGCAGGAGTCGCGGGGAAGTCTCGAGTGATGGCGCGATTCCCAGAGAATGCCGAACGAAATCCGCAGCGAGAGGGCGTGATTCCTGAGAGGGTCGAGGGCGCGGCGCTGGAACACAGTGCGAAGCAGGCCCCCTCGTGCGACAGCGCGATGTCTGCATTTGTGAGGAGTCCCGCGCGAGATCGCAATTTGGTCGGGAGCGGAAAAGAGGGGGGTGATGACTAGGGGGGTGGATTTCATGGCGCGGGCCATGAGATTTCCTCAGATTTCATGGCGCCTCTTCTTATTTCATTACGTCCCAGGCCCCCCCGCTGGGCCGCGCACATGCCGCCGGTCATGATTTGCACCCCCCCCCTCTTGGACACCCCCCTCTTGGCCGCTCCCGACAATTTGGAAATAAAGTGGGAAGCACCAGGCGGGAGTCGCTGTTGATGGGCAGGGGGCCAACAACGTAAATCTGAGACCCGCAGTGTCCGAGCTCCGGACAGTGCGTTTCAATTGGAAAAAGCACCATGTGCCCCTGAGGGGGATCGACAATGCTTATCTTTGAAAGATGAGACTTCAGCAACAATAGCAACAGCAACGGCAGCAACGCCACCAACAACAACACCCCCAACAACATACATAATACTTATAACATCACCAACAGCAGCAGCAGCAGCAACACCATCAACCCCGCCACCACCAATAACAACAACAACAACAACAACAACAACAACAGCAACAGTACTCTTGTTCAGACTGTCCGCTCTTATTGGTTCGCGTGCCATTCAACACGTATATCCCACACCATCGGTACCCGCCCTCTTCGTCTTCGATCGCGCCACCTGCGGGCATATCTTCTTGACCTGCCGCGTGTGCGTGATGCAGCCACTACACCAGGGGAAGAGAGGACGGATGGAATTGGGAGGGAGACGGATGGAGCACTGCACTGCATTAGAACGGAGGGCGCCTAGCAGCAGAAAACATGAGGCAGAACCAGACGGGCCCATCGCGTGCACGTAATTGGTGCAGCCTTTGAAACAGTGGAAGAGGGAACGGACGGAACGGGAAGGGGGGAGGATTGAGCACAGGATTAGCAGGAGGGAGGACAGGAGCAGAAAACACGTGGCAGAACCAGACGGGCCCATCGGGCGGGCAGACCCTAACGGGCGGGTCGGGAGGCGGGCTCATGCGGCAAGGTCGAGCAGGCGGGCTGCTGAACGTGAGTCCTGCATGGATCGCGAGGAGAGCTCGAGCGATAGTGGGATTCCCAAGTAAATCGAGAGAAAGGCCACAGCGAGAGGCGCGATTCCTGAGTGTCGAGGGCGCGGAGCCGGAATACACTGCGAGGAAGCCCCCCGCACGAGAGCGCGAGTCCTGCATAAGTTGTACGGAGGTCCCGCGCGCGAGCGCGATTGGGAAATCACTTGCGAGGAAGTGCCAGGCGGGAACCGTTGTTGTTGTAACTCGGGGGCTGGGGCTTAGTTTGGTTACACTTCATTTCTTCCGTAAAACACGAAGTACGAATTTTGGGAGGAGGATTTAAATTGGAAGAAGAATGGTTACCAGAGTGGAGGTAACAATACTTCTTTTCCAATTGAATCTCACCAGCAACATCAGTAGCACCAACACCCACAACATCAACGACAGCAACACCAAAAACAATGATGACAACAAACCACCAACAACAACCACACCAACCACAACAACACCAACAACACCAATACAAACAACACCCAAACCAACACCAACACCACAACCATAACCAACAACAACAACAACAACAATCATTTTACCCGAACGCTCAGTGTTCTCACCAGTGCCAGGGTTTTCATGCGACGCGAGACAATACCCCCACTTCGTGGGGGGGCAGTTCAAGCTCTACCAAATATCCAAACGACTCTTCGCGACCACCCAAACCCAGCTTCCCGCCCTATGACGTTGGGACACTTCACTTCGTGGCGTGCGGACGACCGTGGCTACTACACTGGCGTGGGGTACACACCCACAGAACTTGGTCACTTATTCGGGGCGCGCGTGTGCCCAGCATCCTGCAATTGTGACATACAATACATGACACAGACAGACAGAGAGAGAGACAGAGAGCAGACAGAGAGAGAGACAGAGAGAGCGGAGTTGGTCACATTTTTGGGGCAAGTTCCTGAGATCGTCGTGTTTTTTGTTGGTCTTGCGCGCGCGAATGTCCACTTTACTTTTTTTTGCAAGGGAGTATTGAAATTTGATTATGTTAGAACAAGAAAAAGTAGCTCGCGCGAGCTCATGTAACATAAATGTTGAAAAACCATTGGTTTTGTGGGAGTCGGACAGCGCGCGCGGGATGAAATTTGGACATTTTTTTTTTGAAAAACCATTGGGTTTTTGATGTTTTTATGTTGAAATCGTTACGAAACCTAAGGTTCTGGAAGGATTTCGTCTTGCGCGCGCGAATGTCCACTTTACCTTATTTTTTGCAAGGGATTATTGAAATTTGATTATGTTAGAACAAGAAAAAGTAGCTCGCGCGAGCTCATGTAACATAAATGTTGAAAAACCATTGGTTTTGTGGGATTCGGACAGCGCGCGCGGAAGGACATTTTGACAATTTTTTCTTAAAAAACCATTGGGTTTTTGATGTTTTTATGTTAAAATCGTTACGAAACCTAAGGTTTTGGAAGGATTTCGTCTTGCGCGCACGAATGTCCACTTTACCTTATTTTTTGCAAGGGATTCTTGCAATTTGATCAAGTAAGAACAAGAATTTTCATTTTCTATTGTTTTTTGCAAGGGAAAACGAGCGTCAACAAAAAACCGGATCCGGAGCTCATCCACTTTTCTGAAGCTTTCGCGAAAAAATGATGAAAATGTAGCTGCGGCCTAGGCGCGGCGCAGAGGTCGCGCACCAGGGGTCCCAACAATAATAATTCTTTAGAAGGAATAATGTTCAACAACAGTAACAACAACAACAACAACAACAGTAACAGTAACAACAACAACAACAACAACAACAACAACAACAACAACAACAACAACAACACCACCAACAACAACAACAACAACAACAACTTCGCGACGCGATCAGAACCCCCCCGTGATAATTCCGCGACGCGAGCGTGTCTGGGACCCCGTCCCTCCCCACCCGCCCGCCGCACCACCGCCGCCTTCCCCCTCGCACTGGGAGGAAAAGGGTCGTTTTGGATGGTTGGGTCAGAAACCTCGGTCTCCTCCCCCGCGAGAGTGAGAGAGCGCTGCCCATCGAGCACCTCTGCAGCCAGACTCTGAGCGCATCCCGCCTCTGTTCGCCTTTCCCTCCGTCCGTCTCCGCGATCTGTGCTCCCGCTCGTTCGCGGCGCGTCCCGCCCGTAGCCCGACCAGCGCCTGCGCCGGCGTCGTCCGTAAAGACCCTGTTCCTGTCGTCGCCCACGTCTTGGCTCAATGAACCATTTCAACCTCCTCCTCCTCCTCCTCCTCCTCCTCCTCGTCCTCCTCCTCCTTTTCCTCCTCTTCCTCCTCCTCCTCCTCCTCCTCCTCCTCCTCCTCCTCCTCTTCCTCCCCCTCCTCCTCCTCCTCGCCCCGCTTGCGCCTGCTGCCTTCGAATGAGCTCGGCGCCCGCAGGCGGGGCGCACGCACTGCCGGCCCCCGTCGGCCGCTCGCGCCCGCGGTGGTCCGCGGCGCCGCCCGCGGCACCGCCCTGCGGCACGGCCCGCGGCACCGGCGGCGAGGCTCTGTCCGCTCGCGGGGCCGTGCCGTCAGGCCAGCCACAACTGGGGGAGCTGTGGTCCTTACCCCCCTGGGGGACCCATCGATTTCGACACCCCTCTCGAGAGGTCGTCGATGCGATGGTTTCCCCCAGGGGGGTAAGGGCCACAGCTCCCCCAGTTGTGTCTG